ACTAAGCATTCAACAAATCCAAAAGCTCATTGTGGACAACAGCAGTCTATTGACTTTAATTGGATTACCAGGAGTCTTACACTATATACATACATACATACATACATACAAGTAAATAGAAAATGGATAAGATATTGCTTTGGAAATTAGCAGCAGGATAAGTGATATTAAAGTTTAGCCTTGTACTTGACATGTTAAAATTCAGTCAACCACAGTGGTACGCATGGGAAATAAACCTCATTTCACAATCAGGAATTCCCAGAAGCATAACATGACATGCATCTGACCAAGTGGGTCTTTGCCCACGAAAGCTTATGCTCCAATAAATCGGTTAGTCTATAACGTGCCATAGGACTTCTCGTTGCAGAAGCATAAAGGCATTTTTTAGACATCCTGCACTCCTTCAACGTAGGTCTTCACCCCTTTTTAAATCCAATAATCAGAAAGTACAAAATTAACATTTGTCATCTGATTATTAGATGTATAGTACACTACTGGTTAGTTTCTGCAGCTTTTAGAGACAAACCAGAGACAACTTGCTATTCATAACAGAAGAAAAATCTTGGTTCAATAAGAGTTTGAGGTGGTATTTTATAGCAAGCAAATTGTTCCACTTCTTTCTCCTGAGGCACCAGGCAAATGCTCATTGATGAAAGAAGTCTCTAAAACCCAGTTCAGTTTTTTCTTTTCTTTATTCCAGCAAAATCACAGACAATGGGAAACTCTTCCACAGCATGGGTTTTTATCATTTCTGTTTTAAAATCCACAATGCTGAGCTACATATGGTTCACAATCCTGCTGGAAAGGCATAACAAGTGGGGTTCCTCAGGGGTCTGTTTTGGGACCAGCTCTGTTCAATATCTTCATCATCAATTTAGATATTGGCATAGGAAGTACACTTATTAAGTTTGCAGATGATACCAAGCTGGGAGGGGTTGCAACTGCTCTGGAGGATAGGGTCATAATTCAAAATGATCTGGACAAATTGGAGAAATGGTCTGAGGTAAACTGGATGTTTAATAAAGACAAACGCAAAGTGTTCCACTTAGGAAGGAACAATCAGTTTCACACATACAGAATGGGAAGAGACTGTCTAGGAAGGAGTATGGCAGAAAGAGATCTAGGGGTTATAGTGGACCACAAGCTGAATACGAGTCAGCAGTGTGATGGTGTTGCAAAGAAAGCAAACATGATTCTGGGATGCCTTAACAGGTATGTTGTGAGCAAGACACGAGAAGTCATTCTTATGCTCTATTCTGCGCTAGGTAGGCCACAGTTGGAGTATTGTGTCCAGTTCTGGGCACCGCATTTCAAGAAAGATGTGGAGAAATTGGAGAGTGTCCAGAGAAGAGCAACGAGAATGATTAAAGGTCTAGAGAACATGACCTATGAAGGAAGGCTGAAAGAACTGGGTTTGTTTAGTTCAGAAAAGAGAAGACTGAGGGGGGACATGATAGCGGTTTTCAGGTATCTAAAAGGATGTCATGAGGAGGGAGAAAACTTGCTCATCTTGGCCTCTGAGGATAGAACAAGAAGCAATGGGCTTAAACTGCAGCAAGGCAGGTTTAGGTTGGACATTAGGAAAAAGTTCCTAACTGTCAGGGTGGTAGTCAAACACTGGAATGAATTGCCCAGGGAGGTTGTGGAATCTCCATCTCTGGAGATATTTAAGAGTAGGTTAGATAAATGTCTATCAGAGATGGTCTAGACAGTATTTGGTCCTGACATGAGGGCAGGGGCCTAGACTTGATGACCTCTCGAGGTCCCTTTCAGTCCTAGTATTCTATGATTCTATATTGACCATCTAAGATTCAAATTACAATAACGCTGATAAAAAATTCCAGAAATCTCAAAATAGACTCTTTAGTAGGAATTAAACAGACAAGTTTTCTCTATTATATACCTGTGAGTACCTGAAAAAGGAACCCCCGTAATAACCCTTGGTTTTAAAATACCATAGTATTCAACAATAATAGACAAAAACACTGCAGCTTCATTATGATAAGCTATATGGTTGAGGTACCACTGAACTCCAAAGAACTTTTCTTTTAAACAGGAAACCTGTCTGAAACATCATTCAAGATGAAAAAAGAACAGTGTTGCTTCAATCCTACACAGAATAAGGCCCAGTACTGAGTTCAGTGAGGTTGTAAAGACATAGAAGTTCACACCTATAACTCATATCTGCCCACAAATACATCCTTGCTTCATTCACTATGCAACCTGAACAATTTTGTCAAAAACTGGATTAACAACAGTTTACCCTTCTCTTTTACACTAGGCAATATTTTTTAAGAGTACACAACAAAGGTTTTCTCTTGGTCTCCATATAATGAATATTTCTTGAACTTTCTCAACACCCAGGAGACCTCGCTATCTGAAATAATGCTAACGCGTGGAAACCTTCCCATCCTCAGGAAGAAGCAACGTGGAAAAAGCTAATGACATTCGGGATGTGCAATTGTGACTAATTTACTAAATCGCGTAGTCAATGCATTTTGCATCAACTGTTCGATTATCGACAGAGCACCCCTTTGCCTTTGGAATGCAACAGACCTAGGGCTGTTGCTACACTTCAAAGGCAAAAGCACTGTGTGGAGCCCAGGATCAGCTGGAGACTCCCCTGCTGACCCCAGATCCCCTGAGGCACTATTGGTTTGAAACGCTGCGGAGAGCCCAGCATCAGGCGTCTCATGGCATTTCATAGTGGCAGTGCCCCATGGAGCCCAGGATCAGCTGGGGACTCCCCCGATAACCCTGGACTCCACGTGGTGCTGCCGCTTTGAAACACTGCATGCAGCCTGGGGACACACCAACTGGCCCCGGACTGCATGAGGCATTTCAAAGTGGCAGTGCCATGCGAAGCCCTGGGTCTCACCTCTTTTAAGTACCCCCTCTTCTTCTCCCTCCTTGCTGCCTCTTTCTGATCGAGGCAGCAAAGGGGGCGGGGGGGGGGAAGCGACTAGTCCTTCACATCCCTAGATGACATAATTCCCCTCTCAGCCCTTCTGCCATGTCTTATTTAAGTCAATAGCTAAACTCTCATTGACTTAAAGGGCTAGTATTTCACCCCGCCTCTATGCTGAAAGAACACTATTTTCAAAAAACCCACAACATCAAGAAGTCTAGATGCTAGAATAATTACTGATTTTCTACAAGAGGTCTGTTTACTGCTTGATCACTCTTCTGCTTCTCCTTTTTGAAATCCATTGAGCTTCCAGTGCACTGCCAAATTCAGACTTTTAATCTGCACCCAATTCTGAAGATATGCATTAAAAAGGCCCTCAACATTTTGCTACTTTACACAATGCCTTTTCTGTGAGTGTTGAAGCTTTTAGGGATATATGTTTATATTGCTAAGTGTGACAAGTTTTGGTTTCCACACTTGGAACATCTTTAAAGAGGGACTAACTTTCAAAAAACACTGAACCCTGTTTTCCTGAACATCATGCCCATTTAAAGTGTTTCATGTTCAGGACTGAAATACTGAAACACCATATTCCACTAGACACTTTTGAAAGTGTAGGTTTAGTGCAGGCTTAGGGAAGAATATCAGTGAGTCATAACCTTGACTTTCTTGGCTCATGTTTCTTTGGGTTACTATGTTAGAATAAGATTTGCCTGCTTGATTGACCTGGTGGTTCAACACCAGCTTTCTGCCAATTTAGGCAGAGCAGATAATTAAAGTCCTGATCTAATTAAAGTCCTGATCTACTGGGAAGACCGAAGAGGTAAAATTTACCCTTCATGCATTTGAGCAGAGTTTTATAAAATATTACATGTATAGGCCTAACACAGCAGTGCAAAATAAATTCTGTTGTATTTCTATAAGGATTGGGTTTAATTGGAAGTAAAGAACATTTGTTTTATAGGTAAAGTTTTTAGATTTTTTTTTATCTGGACAACCAACAGAAATAATGACAAACTACATGAGTTTATTTTCCAAACTGAAAGGAGTGAATCCTATAAAAACTAATATGTATGACCATACAAAGAAGTGTCATTTCTCATTTAAAAGGCTGATGTTTCAATGATTTTTCGAGGGGAGCAGGAGGAGGTTTGACAACCCAGTTCACTGCACCAATTGCCACAACCCAGCAAAGATAATAAGTAGCAGGCAGTTTCTTAGGGGCAGAAATTTCTATGAAGTGAGTTTAGGCTTAGATTTTAGTAGGTGAACAATAATCCTTGATAAAACAGAATGATGAAAAATTCTAAAGTGTGGTGGCTTTAGCTATTGAGTCAAGTAATTTCACCACTGGAGTGCTTTGCCCTTACAGGAAATCTCTTGATCATCAGACTTGTAGGTATGCCTCCTCTGAAGCGTAACCCTATGGCATTGTTTCTACAGATATATTTTAATGCATCAGGATGATACTAGTATCAAAACTGCCATTATTTCTCTGACTTTACAATGAATCAATGTAAAAAGGGGCAATGAACAACTCCCATAAAATTCTATGCCACCATCAATTCTGTTTATCCTTGAACTGTAGGGGAGCATTTTAGAGCTTTACAAACAGTCTTGCATATGCAAAAAGAAAAACAAAATTATATAAGATTTGAGAATGTGGAGTTACAATCTTAATATTCTGATTTAGATAGAAAATGGAGCTAGAAAAGGCATGTCAATGCATCTAATCCAGCCTCCGGCCAATGCAGCAATGTTCTCTGACTATTGCAGTTTGAACATGACCGCTATTAAATCGAAGCTGTCACACCATTTTACACATTTTACATTTTGGACCTTTTCTGAAAACATGCATGTGAGTAAATGCACTTATGTGAACAGCCCCACTTGCTTGAATAGACCTATTCAGCATGTGTTTTTACGGGATTTAGCCCTTAATTTATCCTTTCAATATTCAACAGTAGCATATGTTGTTACTTATTTTCTTAAATTTTTCCCTTTCCAGGACAAGTTCAGCAGATTAACTACAGAAGAATGAGCAGCCAATCCAAAATTACAGAACAGCAAGAGAAAAATCCAACTAACTGACCTGTGATCCTCTGGACCCTCGTTTGTGATCCCATTCAGAATGTCCCATGAGCTAAAACAGAGAAGAAAACAAAAATTGATGGTAAGTGATAGGTTATGCTGATTTGCTATAAAAGGAAGATTCATAATATTTGGTATTCTATATAGTTTTTCTTTTAAGGTTTATTTTTTCATATTTAATCAATATACATTTTAGTAAGCATACCTGGTTTAAAAACATTAGCCTTGCATATTATTTTATTTTTTCAAGGATAAAATTGTTAGGGGCAGGTCATATCTACTCCTATGCAAGTATAGTCTTACATAATGCAAGTTACTCTTCATGAAATGGCACTGACATAGGTTCAGCTCCAGACATGGGATTGAATTGGGTTCTATGGGATTGTATGAGCATCCCAAAGGCCAAGTCTATAGTCAAGGGCAAAGTCAAACTAAGGTAAGTTCAACTTACTGAGATGTTGATGGAAGAAACTCCCCCATCAACTTACCTTACTCCTCATGACCCAGAGTCAATGTGTGTGCAATCGGTCTAATAAGGGCATGCTAAATTGATGACTGACTAAATCGACCCTTGGGAGATTGATGTCTGTAGCGTCAATCTCCCAGTAAGTGAAGACAAAGCCAAAAGATAAGCATTTGGAGTTCTGTATTTTCTCTGGATGACTTAAAAATGGTATGCTTATATCTGGACACACAAAACGCACATATATGGTTTAAATAAGAGTTTATATTTGATATGCTGTGTTGTACCATCCCTGAAGAGGCAACAGACTTCATAATTGCTAATCTATAAACTATAAGGGACATTGGGGTAGATCATGCCAAATAGTCTGTCTTCTGAACGGTCTACAATATAAAATGGACAAAGACCGAGGAAACAAGACCATTAGTCTTTGCTACTCATAGAAGCATAACTTTATTCAAATATACAACAACATGAACATACAAGGATAAATATTAAGTAGGCGAGCTTATTGCTAATTACCCCAAATTCTTGTGTTTGCTTTTGTCTTCACTTCCCAATTTCTCCCACTCTCCATGTGCATTCCCAAAGGAACAATCTAATAAGTGATAGGCAATATACATGACTGAAAAAGGTAGATGGTACAAATTGTTCCCTTGTGTTCATGAGAACATGCTATTGCAGTAAAATTTGTACAAAATAAGCCTTGAGATATCCTAGGAAAGCTAACACCATAGTGATTATTAATATAATTGTAAAATGTGTTAACTTTATATGTGAAATTATGAATTCCCTCTGCATGAGATTAGTACGTGTTTGAAGCAGAAACGCCTGGGGAGTGGTGTAAGCAGGGTTTTTTCCAGGCATAGGTAAAGTCAATACCTCATCCAGGTTCGATCACAGAACCATAGGATGAGAAATGACCTCAAGAAGACATGTAGTCCATTTCCCAGCACTCATGTCTGTACTAAGTATTATCTAAACCATTCCTGAGAGGTGTTGCTCTAACTTGCTTTTAAACATCTTAAATGATGGAGATTTCACGGTCTCCATAGGGAATTTATTTAACCACCCTGACAGGAAGTTTTACCTAATGTCAAACCTAAACTACTGTTGCTGCAATTTAAGCCCACTGGCTCTTGTACTACCATCAGAGGTTAACAATATTTCTCCTTGTAACAAATTTTTATGTACTTGAAAACTTATATCCCCTCTCAATTTTCATTTCTCCATGGTAAACAAACCCCCAAGCATGCATCTGAGACCTTTAATAATGTTTTTGTTGCTCTTCTGGGGACTTCCTCTCCAATTTGTCTATATCCTTCCTGAAATGTGGTGCCTAGAACTGGGCACAGCATGCTCTTAAGGCTGTATGAGTGCGGATAACCTCAACTGGTCACACTCTGGGTTGCAATTCTCTCTGCAGTTAGTACTATGGCCTGCTGCTCCTACTCATAAGAAGCTTCCTGTTTCCTCCTGAGCCAAGTCCCCCATGATTTCTGTTCTTTTTCATGCACTAGAGGGATTACACTGGAGGTTGGAGGTTACACTGAGAGTTGACAGTGTGCTGAGTAAGGACCCAGACTGTTCATTAAGATAGTCTTTTATTTAAAACTCTCTTGTAGTATAACTGTTCAATGAAGAAGGGCCAAATCCTGCAGTGAAGTAAATAGCCTATGAGTTTACTGAAAACACTGAAATTACTCCTGCTTATGCCAACAATGCTTTGGCAACAATTTTATTAGCAAACTACCATTGCTTCAAGTTGCAAACTACAGAAAGGATTGCCAGGTGTCCGGTTTTGAACCGGACAGTCCAGTATTTGAGCTTTCTGTTCAGGAAACAAATTGAGAAAACATAAATGAGAAAATATAAGTGTCTGGTATTTTCTAAATAAGATGTAATGTATATTGTGATGTAATGTCAAGTGTGTCCGGTATCTTTGTTGAAACCATCTGGCAACCCTAACTACAGGATCCATCTGCTTTTCATTTCATTTCTCAACAAATGTGTCTTCAAAAAAATCTGGCATGTTTCTTTTTTTCTGCTGCCATGACAGGCTTCCTAATGCAAGGCAAACTTAGCAAACATTGTTTTTATGCTGTACCCCACGCATGTGTTATATTAGCACATTTTACTGAATAAAATTGTGGTGTAACATGCTAACATGAAAAAAGAATTCCAGAACAAGAAGAGACTTCTACAATTCCAGCCTGTTCTCAAGCACAGCAATAAACTTATATTCTTAGAAGTCATGCCTACAGAATCAATGTTTCTTCCTATAACCTACAGAAACCTGGTTTACATTAGTGTTTAGTTCATCAAAAATACAGAATAGTGACTTTTTGCCTGTTAAGCTATTGCACTCTGGTTCACATCTGCAGTAGCCCACAGCATATGAAGAGAGAGTGGGGAAATCACTCTTGTTCGAGAGCTTTTAGAGTTTTATAAGAACACACAAATACAGTAGCTGTAACGAATTTCCACATAACCTTTGCAAGCACAACACGTTTTTCTGCAATGGGCCAATTTACTAGTTACCACATTGTTTACCTATGCACACCATACTTTGTTAGATAAGTTCCAAAGCCTGAAAAGATTTCCTCTCAATGGGTAATCAGTAAACACTAGAACACCAGCAAAGCAATTATACTAGACTTACACTCCTCAAAATTCATTACTTTTATGTGTTTAACAGAAATCAGGAGATGAAGAAAACAGAAAGAAAAGTCTAAATGAGTGTATTCGCAATCTTTTGAAATTATAACGAGTGAAGGATCACAGCTTTATTGGATCAAGATATGCATAAGAAAGAAGACAGATGAGAATGGATTTTAAGCATCAAGATGCAAGTTTAACAACTTTAATACCAATAGATAGGCTTATTCCCCACCTTATTCTACCAATGATCCCCAGGCTCTTTTCCTCCCCCCAAATTACCAAGCATTAATTGTCTCCAGTATGAGTTTACCTCAATCTACCCAATGAAAAATTGAGAATTGGTCAAACCCTTGCCACTTAATGACCGACTGGGTACACTGCTGAATCCCATTACTCTTCCACAGTCAGAGAGAAAGACATTACAGGGAGCTCAGTCTGCCGAAATTAAGGCCTCTACAAGCTAAACAGTCTGGCTGTGTCTGCACTGGGCCACTTATTCCGGAAAATCAGCCGCTTTTCCGGAATAACCTGTGAGCTGTATACACTGGCCCTTGAATTTCCGGAAAAGCAACGATGCTCTACTGTACAAAATCAGCCGCTATTCCGGAAAAACTAATCTGCTCCCGCTCGGGCATAAGTCCTTATTCCGGAACACTGTTCCAGAAAAGGGCCAGTGTAGACAGCCCAGTAGTCTTTTCCGGAAAAGCGCGTCTACATTGGCCTTTTCCAGAAAAGCAGCCTGCCAATGTAGACACTCCTTTTCCGGAAAAACTGAAAACGGAATACTATTCCGTTTTAAGCATTTCCGGAAATTCATGCCAGTGTGTAGACAGCCTCTGGGTTTTATTACAGGAGATGACTTCTCAGAGTCTATTACTAAGCCTGGACACTGACTGCAAGTTGTGACAATATTTGACATTTATTATCCCTTCCTGTAATCCTCTTTTCCTTTGATTTTTCATAAGGTATCAGTCCCCTTTTTATAATCCCTTCCCACCGGGATGTTGTGAGGAAGGCTAAAACACATCAAATTACATACATTTCAAATTTCAAAGAGAAAAGTCCCTTTTCCGAACTGAAAAGATCAGATCCACACCAAATCTAGAAATCCAGCTCTGGCCTTTATAATTTATAGGGAAGTGCAGCTTTCAACAACCAACCTTTGGTTCTCCTTGCCAGAGGATGTAGTGAGGGCTAAGATCAAAACACGAGGCTTCTTCTGAATCAAAAGCCTTAATGTATTGGAGTTTCCTTATCTGTAAATAAGGACAACACTTCCCACCAATCTTTGCTCAGAAAATATAAAGAGTATTTTTATAAAACATAAAAGTGTATAATGAGTGCTGCCCACCATGCTGTGTAATCATTTGATACAGATAATCATTTTACTAACAAGATTATTGTGTTCATAATAAAGAAAAATCCCTCCTTATAATGGACTATTCCAACATATGGAAAACAAACCTCATCTGAAGAAGAGGGTTTTGCTCATTATACATATTATATTTAGAGTCTGTCTGTCTGTTAACCTGGGAAGCAGTGATCATGAGATGGTAGATTTCAGGATCCTGACCAAAGGAAGAAAGGAGAGTAGCAAAATACACATCCTGGACTTCAGAAAAGCAGACTTGGACTCCCTTAGAGAACTGATGGGCAGGATTCCCTGGGATGCTTACAGGAAGGGGAAAGGAGTCCAGGAGAGCTGGCAGTATTTTCAAGAAGCCTTATTGAAGGCACAGGAAGAAACCATCCCAATGCACAGCAAGAAAAGCAAATATGGTAGGCAACCAGATTGGCTTACCGGGGAAATCCTTGGTGAGCTTAAACACAAAAAGGAAGCATACAAGAAGTGGAAACTTGGACAGAAGACTAGGGAGGAGTATAAATATATTGTTCAAGAATGTAGGGGAGTTATCGGGAAGGCGAAA